CTTCATTTGGTTAATCTCCTTTTTGTGTTTCATTTGCTGCTGTCTCATTACTCTTCCTCGTTTCCTCTCCTGTCCTTCCTTCTCCAGTTTCATGGTTTTCTTCATTTGGTTAATCTCCTGTTTGTGTTTCATTCGCTGTTCTTTGTCTATCTCCTCGTACTCCAGCCTCAGCTTTTCTTTCAATTGGTCAACCTCAGATTCATGTTCTTTTTGTTTTCTATTCCATTGTTCCTCTCGTTCTTCCCTCTCCAATCTCGTTGTGTCCTTCAATCTCCTGATTTCTCCTTCCTGCTTCATTCCTTGCTCCTTTACTTTCTCCTCGTATTCAAACCTATTTTTTTCCTTTTGTCGTTCAGTTTCAAATTCATACTCTTTCAGTTTTCTATTCCACTGTCTTTCTTGTTCCTCCTTCTGCAATCTCGTCATTTCTTTCAACTGACTGATTTCTTTCTCCTGTCTCATTCGTTCTTCCTTCATTACTCTTTCTTGTTCCTCATTCTTTAGTCTGGCCTTCGCTTCCAGCTGTTCGATCTGTACAGTGTGGTTTCTTAAAGTTTCATTTTCCGTTCTCTTCCTTTCCTCTTTTAACACTCTCAGTTCGTTTTGTAGTTCCCTCTCTTTGTTTTGGTGTTTCTGTAACTCAGAAACTTTCTTTTCCAATTCCTTTCTCATCTCCGCACACTCAGACTTTGCTTTGGCTTCTAACTGTTCAAGTGGTTTTCTACCCGTCTTCCCAGTTCCTCTGTCTCCGTTTTTCCCTCCAGTCCCAGCTTATCAACTCTCTTCGTCATGTCTTGAAGTCTTTTCTCACACTCCACCGTTTCGACCTTCAATCCCTCCTCTGTCTCCTCCTGGCTTTCTTTTAATTTTTCTAATACCTTCTTTACCTCGTGTCTCGTCTTACACGTCTCCCGAATTATTTTCTCGCCCGCCCCGACCGCGGGCCTGACAGCCGTTGCACTCCCCCCCAGCTCGTTCGTCCCAGCACGTGGCAGCGCCTGGCTTGCCCTTACCTCTCGCTTCAGTAGTTCCAATTCTCCATCTTGTTCGCGTTTTTCCTTTTCGAGCTTTGTTTTCCTTTCTCCTTCCTCCCTCAATTCTCCCTGCAGTTCTTCGAACTGTTCTGACTTTTCCAGCAANNCTCTCCTCTTTTTATCTTCCATTCTAGGCTTTCTCTTTCCTGATTGCCTGTTCTTATCTCTTCCTTCAATTGTTCCAACTCCCCATCGTGTTCACATTTTTTCTCTTCCAACTGTATTTCCCTCACTCTCCCCTCCAGTTCTTTGAACCGCCTTGCTTCCTCCAATAATTTTTCCATTAATTGTTTTACTTCCAAGTCGTGCTCCTTTTGTTTCTTTTCGAGCTCGGTTTTCCATTCTTCCTCCCATTGTTTCCTTTCCTGGGAGATACCAATCTGCTGTTCCTCTATTCTTTTGTTCAGTTTGCTCTTCGCATATTCCAACTGACGGGTATAAAACACTACCAAATTCTTTTTCCCACGTAATTTGTCGACTCTATTGGCCAAGTCATGTTTTTGCCACCGAATTCGTTCCAGTAAATCGTCCAATCGCTGTGTCCCCCCGTACACGTAATTTTTCTGAAGCGCGTCTGCGTGCCGTTGTGACTCGTCCACTCCACGTTGCACCTCCTCGATATATTCTTCATAACGCTTCACCTTTTCCAAGACATCCCCCAATTGTGCCTGAAGCCTGCCAATGCTCGCATAGTCATCCTGCCACGCCTGCCATGGCACATGCCGTGACCACGTGCCTTGAACCGGTGACTGGGAGCTCACGCCTCGTGCTGTGCCATTAATATCAGCCCGCTCCGTGCTGCCATTGTGCGACTCCGTTTGCCGGCAAAGTTCGTGCTCAAGCCGCTCCCACTGACCACAGTTAGTGGTGGGGTTATAATTATAAAAAGAACCGACCTGGGCCATGGATCCTACATGACGACACATACCTAATACCCCCGGCTCCCGCTCGCCTTGAGACGC